CTGCATAAAACCCAGACCAAGCCAGTTCCAACTATGGTCTCCATATTTCAACATTCTCTGTGATTGACTCGCCAGCCGCATTCTGCCCTTGGTTGACCCATTCAACTAACTGCCAGTCCCTCAGTGACACAACCTAATGCCAAAAATTCTGTGCATTCCAGGAGCAACAATCAACCTGCAATTCTCTCTCCAGGCCAGTGCCATAAACATCACTTTGATGGTTTTCTCTTCCTTTCTAAAACAAAATTGCTTGTTGAAGGTCAAAATTCGACTTCAACTTACAGTTCCAAACATAAAAATTCCCCATGTTGTTCCCCACACGTTTCCCCGTGTCGTTTTACATGTTTCCCTGTGTTGCACCCTGCACATTTTCTGAGATGGGTTATGTCAGTATGGTTCTGGTCAACGAACTACAATAAAACACAGAATAGAACAAATTTTTTTTTAAATGCTAAAAGAAGCAGCAGAAGAATGTGGCCCTCAAGAGTGTTGAATTTATTCATACAGTACAAGGGAATTCATGGCTGATTCACCAACAAACTCAGAAATGGCATTCCAACAGCTCATCAAATTCCAGAGATTCACACAATATATCTTCATTATCAAATGTCAGTACAATGCCCAATGTGTCAATCACAGACTCACAGGAGATAGAGAAATACAGAGAAACATTAAAAAGTCTACACTTTCGTCCATGGTCTCAGGCTGCAAATACACTCAGATGACAGACCTTGGAGTGGATCTGTACAAACGTGAAGAGGAAGAAAGATGAGCAGGCAATGCCAGTGACTGAGCCATGTAGTGCGAAAGTACAAATTGATAGAAAAGTTTAATATGTACCCAGATGAAAGGAAAGCCCAACATAAGACAAAGCTGAAAACAGAGGAGTAAAGATGATAGGATAGGACAGAACATGAACAGCAACCCGAGCAGAACAGCAGTGAGGAGACAACATAGCCTTTCAGGAACAGTGGCAGGGGAACAGGGATTTGCAACAAATATTGAACTATATAGAACAGTGGGGAATGGGCCGCAGACTGAGAAGGAATATTAAACCATAAAGAACAGTGGGGAATGGGACACGGACCGAGAGGGAATATTAAACTGTACAGAACAGTAGGGAATGGTACATGGACCAAGAGGGAATATTAAACTGTACAGAACAGTGGGGAATGGGAATGGGACAGGGAC